ATATACCACCTAGATTACCAAAAATATATTCCACCTAGTACCAGTTTGATGCTATTTGCGCCGTTACGAAGCTAAAAGTCCAAAAATATTTTATTTAACAATATGGCGCGTTGCTTTTTTGGAGTTACCCAACCCTAATTATCTCTTTGAGACGAGTTGGCTCCCTCCGGTATCCGCACGAGCTTCGACTCTTTGAGCCGGCTATGAGACTAATCCGGAGTGCGGAGGAACAGTGATGGCTAAAGGTTCAGCCCCCTCCCCAAGAATGCATTCAGCGGGAATCGAATACATATCCAACCCCACTAACTCAGCGCCAAGTTACCAACTGAGCTGCACTCATTGGGTCAATATGGCGCGTTGCTAGCTCTATTGGTGCTAGGCTTCTTTTATATTATTTATTTATTATTGTTATATATATGTGCATTTTTTATTTTTTAATATATATATATATATATATATATATATATATATATATATGAAAAAAACATTTGTCATTTTAAATGAAATAAAGTTATGTCATTTTAAGAGAGATAGACACAAAATAATAATTTTTTAAAAATTTAAATTAAAAAACCACTCACTTTCTCCCGTATGATTTTCATTTTTTGTGTTTATCGCTCTCCCAACATAACATAACTTATGTGATTCAAAATGACAAACATCAACCCTCTCTCTATATATATATAATAATCAAATAAGATACTATAATAGAGTATTACTATTGTCTTATTAAAAAATAAAATTTTGATCTTATTACATAACTGGATGAAATGTGTAACACCATAATATATATATATATATAAGTAAAATTATTTTTGTAGCTGCTTCACATACAACAACGACATATGTATGATTATGATTCCTTACATTTAATGCTTTCATCCTTATGATTCCTCGCATTTAATGCTTTCAAGTATATATATGACAAATATTTGATTGCTGCACATACAATGGCTGCAGAAATGTAAATCCTATACACACACACACACATATATATATATATATATATATATATATATATATGGAGCAGGATCCTTTGAGAGTAGTCAAATTTAAAGTCTGACACCTCGTCTGAAAGTCGTTAGATTAAAAAGATCAATGGTGTCACATGAATACAAATCAAAATCGTTGATCTTTTTTGATTTAATGGCTCTCAGATGAGGTGTCAAATTTCAAATTTGACACTGATGTCAAATGATCGTACCCTTCCTCTCTATATATATATATATATATGTCTTGAAATATTTCCGCAATGTAACGTGCTCTATATTTCCAGTAAAATGATCGCAACTAACAGACAAACAATAAATTGGTTAAATAGGAATATACGTGGATTTGCAAATGACTACAACACTAGATAAATGCTTGGATTAGTTTAATTTAAATACAAAATAATTCAAAATCAAAAATTTATTATTACATAAATCCATTTTCTACAAAAATTAAATAAAACCAAACATGCAAAAAGACTTTTCTTTTCAAAATCAGGATAAAAATGATTAGTTCAAATAACTATATACTTCTACCCAAAAATAAAAAAAAATTATATACTCCAAATGATATATTTTTAAAAATACTAAATGGGCTGAACTAACCCATTGGACTATACCCATATGCTGGGCTGGTACGCAAAAATTACCACGTAAAGAGTATTGGCCTTCTCCTCCAATTCTACCTTTTATTGGTTTGGGCCGAACGCCTTCCCTCAAAAGCCATATTCCAACCCCTTTTATCGAACATTTAATCCAAAACCTCTCTCTTTCTCTCTGTCTCTCCCCTCTTGTCTTTTGGTACCAGTAATTGTTGGATTACTTGGAAATTCCACATATAACTATAGTACGTACAGTGATGAAAAAAACTTGATTCTTTAACATGAAAATATATATCAGACCTCCGTTAATTCATTTTAACCATATTTCTAAGTGATAAATGGCTTAATCTGCAAAAGGTGAATAGTTTTTTTTTTTAATTATATATATACACATACAGATTTCATTTTGGTGATGGATTTTTGTCTACAGATTTTTAGATATCTCGAACTTGAGATTTGATTGTTTAAGTTATTAACTAATTTCATTAAAATAATAAAGAAATAAAACAAATAAATCATATATAATATTAGCATATATTGAAAATCTTGACGACTTTATCGAAATATATAATCACACAAATTTGAAATTGTTGGTAGAGAAGATCCCATCCCATGGCATTGTATTTTTTACATGAATTTTTGTTACACCTAACGCACTGAATGTGCAGTGAAATCATTCATCATTCATTGCACACTCGACTTTTTTCTCGCCCGTTGTGCGCCATGTACGTACTGTACATGTCAAACAAAATGGGACAATTATGAAATCTGGCAAGTTATCCTACACTCAGGGGCAAGCTCGGAATCAATGATATATTAATTCAGGGCCCGCGCTAGCTATATATAAAGCCAGAAGCACACACACATTAATATATTATATAGAAGATATTAATGCATATATATGATATATGATTGATGATGAGTACTACTTCAGATAAGAGAGTAATGGGTAGTGGTACTAGTGTGGGTGTGGCTTATCTACTCGTGATCATATTGTTGGTTGGTGCATGGAGTGGGAGTGGGAATGCTCTATGCGACGTTTCAATAGGAGAACTAATGGCATGCAAGCCATCGGTGACACCTCCATTCCCAACAGCACCATCAAACGAATGCTGTGCAACAATATCACACGCAAACTTGCGATGCCTTTGCTCTTATATGAACTCCAACATGTTGCCTGTTCTTGGAATTGATCCTCAACTCGCCATTAGACTGCCTGACCTGTGCCATCTTCATCTTCAGCTCCCTCCCTCCTGCTATTAATTAATTACTCTGCTACCTAGCTACCCCTTAATTTGATCATACATACCATCTATCTATCTATTATTGCTAAATATGCTAATTAAATAATTTTGAATGCTTCCCTTGATCAGTATTCAAATAGTGGAAACCCCTTTACTTTATAATCAACCCTTGATATGCAAGTTCTTGCTTCATGATGTCAAATTTCAATCACAAATAAAATGAGTCATGAGTGGGAAAGAAAACTAATATCAAATTATTATGTTGTTTTTTCTTTCTTTCATTCTCATGTATGATGTACCCTTTGCCTTTCTTTAATATTATTAATAATAATAATTATAATACATTAAATGTATCTCACAAACCTCTGAATTTCTATCGACTGTTTATTTATTTAGTTTTCTCTTTCATTTTCTCCCACTTTTTTCCTCTTATCATTTTCTCTTATTTCTTTTGTGAGATTTCTATGGAATGTTACTTCTTGTAAGTATATTACCATGTATACAATGATCCCAACATATATTTAGGACGCATGACTACTAAAAGGCTGAAAAAAAATATCCTGTCCGACATTAGTATCCCAAGGCCCAAGCTTTTTCGGAGAAGTGATCTGAACAAGGAAAGTACCGTCGATACATCTTTTATTAAAATTAGAAAGAAAGAAAAAACAATTTTTATCTATTCTATCCACCTTTTTATAATTATTTTATGGGTTCGCTTTTTCTGCTGTTACTGCAGATAAAGCCTAATACGATGTCGTTTTGGGGCGTAAATCATGGTACTTTTGTAATTTTAATTTATTTCAGAGTTATAATAGTCTTTATATTTATAACTTTTTAAGATTTTAATACCAAAACGACGTCGTTTTAGGAATAAATACAGATAACCTATCTGCATTAACTGCAGAAACATTTCCCCCTTATTTTATCTAAATTTCATTTTTTTATATTCAACAAAGAAAGAGATATTCCTATATTATCAAATACATGGTTACCACGAAAAATGTTAACAATCATAATTAATTATTTTGTATTTTTATAACACACCTCCTTACATAAGAGTCATTTGAGTTTGAAGCATGAATATGACGGTGATAATGTCTATTTTTTTATCTACATTGTGCTAGACAGGCCTCTTTTTTTAATTTCACCTAAAAATGAAAATAGTGATTTAAGAATTATTTCAACTCAAAACGAGACTTAATTAATTATTTTGCATCTTTTTTATATGTCTTTAGCAGAAAATTAACCAGCGGTTTTGATTCTTGTTCAAGCTCAAAATAAGACTAAAAGAGGAAATTAATGAACAAGACGAAAGTCAAATCTATTAAGTCAACGACAAATAGCAGTCGATATGGCTCCAAAGATGCTATTCAGATAAGACAATATTTTCCGATGCAAAAATACACTTTTAGTTTTTGGCATTGATGATTAATGGCGGGAGAAGTCTTCCAGCCGTGAAATTTAATTAATAACTAAACGCTGCTACCCATCGACATCCAGTCGTTGGCTGGGAAATGTTTTGCTACTGAAATATCGAATTCTGTACTCTTTTTTATTAATTTTTTTTTTTTTATCTTTATAATTCTTTTTTAAATTCAAAAAATTTCTCCTTTTAATATAAATATACCTACGGCTGTTGCATCAAAAATTTTGTCGCTGAAATTGGTCAGTAAGACACTTGGCAACAACTTTTTTAAAAGAGAAAGTTTAAAACTACACAGAATATTAAGACCTGATAATTAAATCATCTATTTACAAAGCACCTTAAATAAACTTACGATTCGGTTTGTATGCCCGGATTAGTTTATTTAAAAAAAAAAAATCATTTTTCATAATTTCTAGGTAAATCTTTTGAAAAAAAAGTAATATTTTTATTGTTTTTAAAAAAACAAATAAATAATTTTTCCAAAAATGAACTGAAACAAACAGAAGCGTTTTCCTTGAAAGCACGTTAGTTGTACCTTCAATCACATTGCCATTGAAAAGCAAAATAAAACAAGAACTACCTACGATAGCAACAACAGTAGCCAAGAAATGATGGTAAATTTCAGAAGCTTAATTTTCCTTCTTTTAATAAAACTATGAAGCAGCAGAAAGACCATTCATCTATTATTAATCATAAAATACAAAAGTTAGTTATGTAGGCCCAAGAAAGAGTTGCCTGTACACCCGGTATATTTCCTATATATATATATATATATATTTCCCAATTTGCATTTTACAGTGTAATGATTTAAACTTCGGAAGGCGCTCTGGGCGAAGACGAGTCTGCATCATAAGCCCAGAGACTCTTCAGCTCACCTCTTATGCATCCCAATAACACAGTGACACCTGTTGATTTAATTTGACAATAATTGGGCATGAGATGAGTTTAATGAAGAGAACCACTGCACAGCTAATCTAAAAACTATTTACCTAGTGTGCATGGAACAAGGTATAGAAGTGCAGGTTGTCCATGACCGTTCATCATATATAGCCCAAGATATGTGAAGAAGAGGCCTGAAACAGGAAACGACCCTCTGTCACTTTCAGGGGCTAAGAGCATAATAGCTTTAAATCTGAATAAATGAGTAATCAACATGGGACATCCATAAGGCCACATTAGCATCATAATAACATATTGGACTTTAAGACATTGTGGATATTGTTAACTCAAGTGTAGGAGAAATTTTTGTGTGGACTTCGTCAACACAAGACGCTGCATCATGAATGACTTACGCATCATTTTTGTATGGAATCAGACATCGTGCGTATCTGCTTCAGTTCTTAAGCAGAGCGTTATTGCATATTCAAACATTAGGGTAATGGAACAGAGTTATTGTCAGCAACTCTAATAAGCTAATGTTTAAATAATGTCAATAAATACCCAAAGGGAAAAAAAAAAAAAAAAAAACTCATTTTCAGACACTCTCCTAAATAGGAGGAATTTTAACAAGTTATCTACACAAACATACTGCAAAGGAACTCACCGAATGCATAGCCAATTACCAACCAAAGAAAATACCCGTTTAAGACTCCCTTCTTGGTATTTTTGTCGAATCTGAGACAATCAAAAGTCATTACAAATACGTTAAAAACAAAGCATCTTGTCAAACATACACTAAAAAGAAAAACTTGACTAAAGCAAATATTAAAAACAGAACAGTTCTCTTTCTGCTCATGCAAGGAAGCACAATCTAAAAGACAGAAGGCTAGCAAGTTCATAAAAATTTAATTGAAATTCACCCCTTATCACCCGATATGATTTTCTGAATGATGCTTAATATATGTGATCAATATGACTCCCACAAAGCTGAAGCATGAGAAACAAATTTCCCATTTAAGAACATCATCGGCATTATTAGAAATTTACTTTGTTCGGAAGTTGGGGATACAAAATTGGATTATGAGAATTGTTGCAAACCTAAGAAAGAGAGGGTTATCAGTTATGGATGTCAGTACTTTGGTATCTAAGAACATTGCCTTACGCAGTTTTCTTAGGAATCACATTCTCTATGGCATCAGGTAATTCAGAGCAAGTATGGGATTGATAAGATGTTGGTAATCACTGCTTTCATTCTTTGGTTTCTTTCATATTTGGGGATGGCTCTCTTAATAGATTTTGGGAGGATTCGTGGGTTGGAATCAACCTTCCTTTATTTCCAATCTTTGTCTTTATCCATTTATAGCTTCTGTATTCTCCAGAACTCTTCCTTCTATTGAACCTTTCACTTTTATCAAAACGTTAATGGTAGGGAGGCAATGGAATTGGGATCTCTTCTTCTCCTAGACTCTTCAGTGGGTAGTAGAATATGGACCTGAGATTCCTCTAAAGAGTGTTTCGGTATATCCTATTCCCAACAACTCATTCATTCTCCTAATAAGAACAACTTCTTTTGCTAAAACTATTTGGAAGTCCAACGCCTCCTCAAAGATTAAGTCTTTTTCATTTAAACAGCAGTATTGATTTGGATTTATAATGACTTGATGCAGGTTAGCAACCCTCACAAAAGTGTCTCTAGTAATATCTCTGTTTTCTGAGATTCGGAGACTATTCTAGCACAATATATGATAAAGACAACACAAATGTTCCAAGAAACAATTTTTTGGAGAAAATAGAAGCTGCCAATGGGATTATGATGCAGAGTAGATAAACAATAAAGCTGGGGATGTAAGGAAGAGAAAGAATGATCCCTATCCCACAAAACCTAACACGAGAACAATCACTGCGTCAACCCTGAAAGAAAATGGAGTTAAGAAGTAGCAGCCTGTATTCTTACGTTCTCCTACTGCTAGATACGTGTGGATGTGTAGAGACTTTGGCGTTTTTGGTGCATAATCTGTCCAGAAAGTTTGGGAACTTTGTTGATTGGTTTAAGAGTCTTGTCTAGAGTAAAGATGGAAAGGCTTTTCAGGCGGTGTAATATATTTATTAGTGGTTATGGTTGGAGAGTTCACCAGAGTTTTAAAGGACATTTTTATGCTGCTGCTGCTGTGATGAGATGCAGTGATCTTCTTGGCCTCTTTATTCTAGCAGGGTTTCTCTGCTAATCGTGCAAAGAAACTCACAAGCTTTGCTTAGATGTGCTTTTATATTTGGGTTTAATGTTTCTCCTCTCATAGTTATCCTTCGGAAGTAGTCTTGGGGTTATAAGAAGGTACCCCCTCTCTCTCTATATATAGCGTGGTCTAATTGGACACACTCTCAATTCACTCAAATCTAATTTCCAAGTCTCCTTTCATCCCCCCCCTGCCATCATAAGCAGCACGGCACCTTCTTCACGTACGGCTGGAATGAGTCAACCCTAGGACATACCACTAAAGTACATCCATGCCAAAAGGGGAAGTTTTTGGGATTTAAGGGGAATTATAAAGGAAAACATGGGTTAAAATGGAAAAAAAAAGTTTCCTTTTTAAAGTAAAACTCGGTACTCCAGCAGCATTAAAGAGATTTCCCCCACTAAGGTGTCATGTGATCGTACACTGCTTACTATCAAGTTAGTAGCACATAGAAAACTAGCTTTGCAAGTTAGAGAAATCTAAACTTGGTATCGTTACTTATTTTCACATTCTCATAGACAGAGAGAAAATTAATGTAACATCCACCGTACAATCCAATTACTTTAATTCTCCATAATAAATTATATTTTTTCTCTCCTTTGTCCCGGACATCAGGGAAATTTTAATGTAAACAAAATTTTAAATTCAAAATAACTTGTGTATGCTGCATGAAAAGAATTATTCAGATATCTTCAGACTTTATTCCCTCTTCCGACTAGATGCTCATCTCCCAATCATCGCCCCCTTTTATATTGCATGCGTGTTTCCATGTACAACAATAGAGACATGGAAGAAAAGTTCACAATCATCTTTATCATTATTGTCATGGAACACATGTCAAAAAGATTCACAGCAATAGATATTTGTCAAAGCTCAAACTACTGCATCTATTTCATAAGCTCACAAGTAACTTAACCAAATTGTAGATCCCCCAGTTTGCTAGACATAAGGCAAAGAAAAATTACAAAGTAATTAAACTTTAAAATCAAAAGGAAAAGTATTTACCAAAAATTTTTAAAAAAGATGGAGGAAAATTTGCATTGGATTTTATTCTATTCAAAGCTATAAGTTTATATTTCAGTTTATAAACCTTCCATTTATTTAAGTTGACTAAATAAGGAATTCAATACCTACGAGTAAATGAAACAAGCAAACCAGGAAAGAGAATATCTCCAAATCCAATCATATCATAGCCACCCCAAGGATCAGAAGGCCGAGGAAATCTCAAAAGCATAGGAATTGCTTCCCCACCAGCCTTGTCACCACGAGCAACCTAGAAACGAAAGCACGTAATACAACTATAGGACACCTTTTTTTTGGTGTAAAAAATTAATTCATATTTGAAAGAGAAAACACAAGGTACATTTAAAAAGGAAAATAAGAAGTTCAACTCTGCAATGAACCAATGAGAAGAAAAAGAAAAGGAAAACGAAAAAATATATAATCTATATGTTTTTAGCAAGATGAAGGACAGATATCCCGTGACTAGAAAGGAAAGGAAATATAAGAAAGGATAAGAAAGAAAGAAGATGAGCTGGGTGTATGATTAAGAATTTACATTTGAGAGCCAAACTGCAATGAAATGAAACAATCCAAATAACTAAACTAGTAAAAACGAAGACTTACCGTAATCATAACACTCTTCTTGAATATCACTGGAGATATGAATACCCAAAAGATGTCGTATACAAATGCACAACAAAGGAGTACAGTTGCAACCTATGATATCAGATGCATAAGCAAATTACACGATATGTTATAATTGATATCGGAACAAAATATGTAGGGAAACAATTATTATAAACACAAGGAACCCATTCAGGTACCTTAATATTAGGCAATCGAGCCAATTGCAAGACAGTAATCATCAAACAGATGCCCTATCAAGAATAAAGCCATATTTCAAGTGAATTGCACAAAATAAAAGATTAAATGAACAGCTTCTCGCGAGTGAATGGTAACAACCATAAAGACAAAAAAAAAAAGCACTTTTCAATGCAATGCGGGCCGAAAGATCTCTATGAAAACAAACAAGATACCAATTTTGTATTTGACATGAGCACAAACATTTACAATGATTAAATCGAAAAATATATACATGCAACCATATTATGTGCCTATACATATACGCTCACGTGTGCATTTATATGTACGCATGCATGTATACATGTACATAAGTGGGTGCTATTAAATGTATGCAAAAGCTTTCTAGGCAATATGAACATATCAACACAGGCAGACCTAGAACTAGAAACCATTGCAACTTCTGCCCATTTTCATAAAACCAATTTCCTGGGTTCCTCTCAACTTTTCAATTAGAGTCAGTATTATTCAATGACAACTTTCTAGAAATGAGACTGAATTTCATATGGTAAGCATCATGAACAATACTTTTCAATGTTTACCTCGCTGTCTCAAAGTTCTAATTTAGAAACTGCAATGATAATAGAAAGACCTATTGTGCAGGTACTAGAAACAGAAACTTACAAGAACATCTTGGCCAAACCATGAAAATGATTCCCGCCGAGTAACAGCCCATATAACCGCAAATATCAAACAGAATAGTAACACTATCAGTGAGAAAATAGAAACCTCCCCAAAAAGAGGCAAATTCAGAGTCTTCTGACCACAATTTGGACGTTTTCTGCTCATACATTTGAAAAACAAATGAGAAATGAACAGAACACAACATTCAGAAAAAACATTAATTTCCCTTTTTTATTAGAAGAAAGAAGACATTGATTGTACCTTAAAGTGAGGCTAACAATAACATTGTGCATCCCCTGAAAAATAAAGCAAACTTCAATTACTGAAAAGAGGACTTTTAAGCAATTAAAAAAAATCCAAAACCCAAATGCTTATCAGCAGTTTATATGCATATGGTTTCAAATAGATCAATAGATCAGTTAACAGAAAATCCTAAGTACTCCCTAATGTATTTTTTATAGAAAAAATAAATTATATTAGAGAGAAGAGGAAAAATACAACTAGGGGGCAGACAAAATATTCTCCGAAGCAGATAAGTAGATACAACAAGAAACAAACTCAAGAACGTAGCAAAGCTGCCCAATCTCTTTGAATGTGAGAAACAACAATTCCCTTGAAACAAATATGTGTGAATAAACATGTTGATGGAGTGGGAAATAGATTGGCATGCGAATTTTCTTAGGATGGAGTGGTTGAAAAGCAATTAGCATTAAGAAGGGTTAGGTTGTTATTTCCTTTATTATACATGGCATTTTTAGTCCTCTTTCCCTACATTTATTTATTCATTTCTTCTCTTATTTATTTATTTTTTCTCTCAATCTTTTCTTGCTTTTTATTTGGCTTCATCGACCACATACCCCAACCATACTTATTAATCTCGGATAGTAGCGCGTAGCGGCTGACCCTCCATATTGCTATAACACTATAGCGGGTAGCGCTACGACGCTACTGCGCAAAGTGTACCTAAGTGATACACTAAATTGTACTCCACAAATATAAAACTTAAAATATGAAAATGTGACAAAAAAATAAATTTGAAGGATCTCAAACTCAAAAATAATTGATTTCAAATATTAAAATTCAAATCATAAGAAAATTAAAGGAATTAATATCTCAAATAATGTAACACGACAAAATAAAGTGGCAAAATTAGTCAAAATTCAAACCGCCACTTAAGTGAATTGTCAAAATCAAAGAACTAATCATAATTGAAATCATGAACATCCAAATATTCATCTTCACTTTAACTTGTATCTAAGTTGTAAATCTCTTCCTTCTACGATGGGAACACTTTTGTAGAAACTACTGTAGCGGCGCAATAGCGCCGCGATTCAACCGCAATAGCGGCTGCTACATCCGCTACACTTCACCTGACCATAGCGGCGCGGTCTGTGGCGGCCGGCCACTGCACTGCAACGCAACTTCGCTATAGCGCACTAAAGCGGGGCTATTTACAAGTATGACCCCAACTAAATAAGGATAAAGGTGACATTGATGTTGAAATAGGTTTATACAATAGAAGTGTTAGAAAATCTAGAAAATACCGTATTATATCTTGATCATAGTAATTAATTGCACCGCAATAGCGCCGCGAGCCGCTCCGTATGGGCGTTGCGGTGCCTCGCCCAAGAAGTCGCACCGCGCCGCACTGGAACGCAATGGCGGCAATTGCGATCACATTTGTGGCCAAATTGCAGCCATATTACTGTCATAAGGCAAAATGTCAATTTTGTCCTAAATTTAAATGTGTAACAGAATATTTTTTAAGGGTTTTATAGTCTATTTGCATCTCTCTCTGCCACTTATACTATCTCAACCTTTAAAATATGTTTCTTTTTGTCATTATTTCTGTCACATATCTATTCCAATATTGCAACCGCATCCCGCTATAACGTTATAGCGTTTTTCGGGGTTGGTCGTGACATGCCGCAATCTGCATTTGATAACTTCGATCTTGATTATATCTTAAAATAGTTTAGAGTATCTTAGATAATCTCCTAGCAATAGTTTTCCTATTTTCTTATATTTCATTATTTGTTTCCTTGTTTTAGGAGTCCCCTATTTAGTATAATTAGGGCTTATTACTTTATCTTTTGTCCCATATCATAGCATGTTCTCTATTCAGCTACTATTATCTCCTTTTCTTCCTTCCATCTATATATCTAAATCCCTATAATTTTAACCGGAAGTAAATCTCTAAGGGTCTATTATTTGCTTGAAAGCTTGGTTGATTGACAAGGGCTACGCTAGCTTATGGAGTAGACTTCTCCAAGACTTTTTAATTTCTTGTTAATCTTGCCTTTGTCCACCTACTTATTAACTTCACTCACCATTGTCCCTCTCATCAATTAAATACAAAAAATGCATTTTTGTATGGTGATTTGTAGGATTTATATATGGAGCATTGCCTCGCTTTGTTGCTGAAGGAGAGTTTGGAAGGTTACTTTATTCTCCACGGAATTGGATTAAACAATTATTGTTAAGTAGTTCACGAGCTTAACTTATAGGAGAGTAGTTATTATCATCCCATTTCTGTCAGCTAACTACTCAGTTATATTCTTTTGGTTGTGTATGTTGACGATAGTAATGGTGTGGGTATTTGTGCTCTTAAATCCTTTCTAGTTGCAGGCATGGCTTCTCAAACACTTGTACTCTCTCTCACCCCCTTTCTTACCTTTCTATAACTTGGTTATGAATCCAGTAAGACCAATATAATATACTTTGAATGGTGCACGTTTAATTGAATTAGAATTACACACTTCAGTTTTTATACAGATAGTAGTTTAATCGTGGACTTTTTTTATGCAGTGACACCAATATGGTATAGGCCTCGTGCATACCATGAAATATGATATATATACTTTTTTTTTCAATCAGTAAGGTTAGGAGTAAAATCCGAAATGAGTTACCTTACCTCAATACCACCAATGCAGAAAAGTACAATCAGCACCCAGATAAACCAAGATGACATGAAGAAGAACAGTAGCACAAGAAAAGTAGATGCCGTAATGACAAAGACGATAGCACCCTTTGTATCTATGTTAACAATTTCCTCATCCTTCGCTGTTTCAGCCCTAGAAGATCCCTAGCAAAAGAAAAGAAATTTATATGTACAAAAAATATGCACAAAAAATATGCTTGAAGATGTATAAAAAGTGAACTGAAAACATTTGTAATCAGTAAACAAAATGAACGAAAGAAGACATGCTCCATTGCGTCCATTCTAATAGTTAATTGATTGAAACGATCAATGGCTAATTGTACAAAGAGCAGTCAAACATAAAAGGAAATGTAGATTAGCGCAAATGTCATGGTCAGCCTGTGATTACAAATTCCTCATTTAACCATTGTTAAAATATTAGGTATGTTAGTCATGAAAGCATGCATACCTTGCCATCAAGATATTTCTTAAATTACTTTTAGTCACTCCAAACAAGAAGAAAAGTACACAACAAAACATTTAAGTGCATATCATAAACTTCAAGATAGATGTAGGGTTGCATGAAAAACCTTGGGAGACAATTCATTATAGCGTTCATCAGACTGATCACGAGCAGTTATATCTGACCATAGTGAAGCACATGTAACTGTTCCGACAGACATCAACCACAAAAATGCAACTGAGTAGTCTATAAGTGGGCGAGTCGGAGCATACAGCAAAACTTCCACTGCAATGGACAACTCAGAATTAATCATCTGTAAATCATGGGGAAACAAACTTCGCATCCAGTATAAATATGCATTTTTTTATTGATAAAACCAGCAACATTTTACTTTAATCTTATTCAGTCAAAAGGGTTTATGAGAATGCATGGCATGCATGTGTTAATGAGGGAGAGAGGATTGAAAAGCATATTCCCATCAAAATAACACCTTGTAGTGCTACCAATTGAATGATTTTACAATTTACTGAATGTTTAATGCATTGAAGAAATATATGAAGTGAGGCAACATCAAAAGTCCAGGATTAGTATGAAACAGTACTCAGGTGCACTGTATTAAATGGTGATACCAATCACAAGTGAAATTACTTGAATCAACACAAATACTAAGGCTTTACCCACCAAGTTCCCCAGTTATAAACCATTAGTCTATTAGTTAAATCTAAATGACACATTCAATAATAAAGAGCTTCTGTCTATATTTTTCTGTTGTCTCCTTTTAAAAATTAAGAAATGTATCAACAGAAAGAAGACAAGTTCATCAGTGGCAAACCCATGCCCCAATGGAGACCAGAGAAAAGATCGATGAGAAAATTGATTGATATACATCCAAATAGAATATCTGTAATTCCAAAATCTCTGCATATTCATCAGAAAATCCCCCTGAAGAATTCGTCGTCATAGCTCCATCAAGATGCCAAAAAAGGTCTGTATCCCATAAAAGACTTAATGTGTTTGGATTAGCTTTTTTTGTGATAAGAAAAAATTAATAATGAAAATGCTGCCGAAAGAGCTTTTAGCTGAAAAGCTGTTCTTAGGTAATTATTAAGCAAAACCCAACATGTTACTCATATTTCTCAAACACAGCAGTTTTACAAATAGAAGTTTAAAGAATTGTAGGCCTGACCTCTCCTTCCAGACGTCAAAATTTTCTTGAGATTTTCTCCGGTTGAATTTGTTATCACCACAACTGGAATTGAAATGTTTACCCTAGTTTGACTGGAGCATTCCATCTCAAAGAGCTCTGACAGAAAGTAAACAGATAGATTTCAGACAAAATATGATCATAGAAAACTTTATTGACTAAAACAGATTAAAAATTTGAAAGAACAGAATAAGTAAAAAATTGTAGTAAAGGTAAGTTTCAATTAGGGAGTTGTAATGCTAAAACATTTAGTGGATATTCCTTCTGCTACACGTAATAACTTTAAGAATAAATCAAGATTGAAGCAAAAGAAAAAGAAAATGACAATGTCACTTAGTATACGCAAGTTGCCATTTGATTTTGTAATTTAAGTTGCGGATCATGTGACCTTTCTGCATGGATCATTAAAATACATATTATGATAAAATAAGCATGAAAACAAGCATGACAAATAACAAATAATGAGACAAGCTCGTTTTAATAGCTTCTTTGTGGATTTCTGTTCATAGGTTATTGTTCAGATGTTCAATGGGATCGGGTTTCTCTTTAGAGCTGATGTATTTTTTTTTTCTCGCCTCTGTAGTTTTGGAATAGCCTTAGGAGGATACCTGATCCTTCTCTATTATACTCTTCCTTATCTTAACAAATATTTCTTTTGTCTGAGATAAACAAGAACTAGTGGAAAGTAATGTTTTGGAAAAGCAATACTGCTCGGTCTAATAAACTATAGGATTTAATTTTGATTGCTATTTGTGTAGAATACGGTCAACTCTCCTAAAAGCTTGAGGTGTTATGCGAAGGCTAATTACTAGTTTTATATTTCTAACAAGAGTACAATGTTAGTTTAGAATGTGATGCCACCTATTTAAAATACAACTTTTACAGCAATTAAATTGCCAAAGTTAGTGCAATGATATGACACTTTGTTGTTTACTGATAGTGGATAATGTTCTACAGTGACACTGGATCAAATCTAAACTCTTATCTATATTACTATGACAGTTTATTAATATTTAATACAAATAATCTATGTGCCTATATTCAAATACAACAAGTGAAACTTCATCAGTCTGGCAGACCCTTCCCAAATTTAAAAATGGAAACGTCATGCGTGATGTGCTGAAACATACCGTCTGCCTCATTTATCATCAGCATGCCAGTAGCACCCGCTGACTGTGCGAATGCAGCTTTAGATGTGAAGTCACAAACACCGCGTACACAGAGAGCAACTGATCCAGATAACTGCAAAGCGGGAAAGCACAACAACACTGAGCATGCTGCTTGAGAAACTATAATATAATACCCATTACTGAAAAGATTTCCAAATATCAACATACAATATGTTAAGTTAGAAAAATGTATGAAGTTCCCCCCAAAAAAAGTTGATGCATAATATTAAGAGGATAAATTGTGAATTTACAATGGGCATTTAATATTAGCTAACTGAAAATGAGATAGTAAATGTATGTGAAACCTTTGAAGTTGAAGCGGAACAGCAATCTATAGGATTAGGAAAAACAGCAGGAGTTCTGACACTTTGATCTTCATTCTCGGGTAAAAAAGAACCAAATTTTGCAGTCATACCATTAAACATGTCACCTTCCTTGCCATCAACCCAGTTCTTCACCTTGACCTGCAAGAATTCAACAGGATAAGGAACTAGGAAGTTCGCAGACACACGGAGAATAAAATACATGATGCCACCAATTCACATTCTCATTTCCAAATTGATTGAAATGCATATATTGATTCTATTGTATTGTATTGTATACATGAGTTGAGTTTGACGATGAATTAATTACCAATTGCATCTCATGATTGCAGGAGGCATCGTCGGCGGCCGCTGCTGCGAACAGAAAGAAGAGAAAGACGATAGGCACCGCAAAAGGGGGAGAATACGCCATTGTTGTCACCTCCGAATTGGAAAAGAGAGAGAGAAAAAGATGGCGTTAGAATGAGAACGGCAATTGTTAGCTCTGCCTCGCATCAACGTGAAATTCGTGGCGCCAACAAACAGGGATTTCATTATTGGATTCTATTCTTTTCAAATCACTCTTTACTGACTCTCCCTCCTTCTATCCTACCCAACCAACCATTTCACTCTCGTCTATATTTAATTTACTTTCATTTTTATGACTCCCTGCATCAAAATTCAATCTTATTCAATTTTACAATACACCAATGTTTACTCTGCACCATTGATTATATTGTTTCATTCACATACTATTCTTAGCATTAAAATTCATTTCTTTCCTTTTGTTGATATCGTTCTTTCCTTTTCTCTGTGATTGACTTGAAAAAGTTCCACAATTTAGAAGACCCAAAAAAGTATTAATGGATAAGACAAAATTAAGAAAATTTAAAAAATATTTTTTAATTATACTAACCCTTTTACGATAATAATGAATCATGAACCGGACTTCTAACACTCCTAAGAGACCCATAATCTCACTACTGATAGGAACTCATCTATAAACAGTGGCAGACTTACTTTGTTCCTCCCGCACCTGATGAACTTTCAAGTAATTATTATTATTTTTTTTACAAAAAGGATAATTAGGTAATGGGCAGTTAACAAAAAAACACTATCTCCATATTCGTCCCTTACAATAAAAAGTCTCGAGATTTTAAGTTAAGAAATTCCAACCGGATCCATTTAGTTTAAATTATTCGTCCCTTAAAAAGAAAGTCTCGAGGTCCTTAAGTTAAGAAATTTAAAGTGGACCCATTTAGTTTAAATCGTGGCTGACAAATTAAGAAAAGACTCACATTAATCCCTCAAAAGAGACCAAAATGGATCTACTTTGAATTTTATAAGAACCACGATACTAATTGTTTTTGTGAGAGACTAAAGTGGAGACCGTGTTTTTTCGTTAGGATCCAAAGTGGGCTTCACTCATTAGGTAAAGGTGAAATAAAGATGAAAAAATTCGTTCTCCAGTTCTCATACTTCTCGCATCATCGACCAGCTATGTTTTTTGGGGTTTGCTTTCAGCTTATGTGCCTCGCTTGAAAAGAGATGATTGATGTCAGGTGTACATTTTCAAATGAGTTAATCTCCAGAGATAAGGGCCTTCATTGTGATTTTGCTTGCCTTCTGTACAGCCATTCATACATGTAGTGTTGACTTTTTTATTCACCATACATGTATAAATTTACTGGAGTATATTCTGCATTACCTTGTCATGGAAGCAATTAGATTATGAACAAGTTCATAACTTAACTTTGTATATAAATGTTGATTTAAACTTTCTTTACAAAAAAAATTTGGAAGCGTTATCCCCGAACCCCAACACTAAATATGTGAACATAACAAAACTTCCTGTGTTAATCCAACAAAGTACACACATTCTTTAAATTCTCTCTCTTGAATGTCAGTGTGCATACACCATATTCTTTGGCTACTCCGTCAACATTATTTTGCATAGTGACCTACTTTCAAAGGTATCTTTTTCAAATACATGATAGAGGACATATAAATCATACGAAAACATTACCAATCTCTATAGCAAGAAGAAAATATTAGCGCCGTTTGTGAAATCGATAAACTTCTATTCTTGTCCAAAGAAATATGCTTTTAAAGTGTCACGGGAAAATTGAAACTAGAAGGGACGTTGTCTATCTTGTAAACGCCATGGCATTCCACCAAAAAAGAGGCTGTGACGGCTATATAACTGTATGGGATGCAAACAACAAAAAGAGTACTGTAATACCTCACGAAAAATAACAGAATAATAATAATAATAAGATTAATAGTAATAAATAATAGTATAATAAAAGCCTATTTGAATCCTCTCAATTTTAAGCTAGAAGCTACTTATAAGCTAAAGTTAAAAAAAAGTTTAAAAAAAGAAACTAAAAGCTGTTTGAAAATTACATAAAAAATTTAACTTAAAATTTACTTAAAAACACATATTTCAAGAAAATTATTTTTCTTTCTATCTTTATCACTCTTCATTTAAAAAAGAGAGCATACAATTCAAGAAAAACAAATAAGAGCTTAACAAAAAGCTCCTAAGACTTTTAGTTTTCATTTTCTTTTCATTATAAAAAAAGAATTTTTTGTTATAAGAGCTTTTTTCAAAACCTGTTTGGCCTAGCTTATACTTATAAGTAGCTTCTAACTTAAAAAAATCCAAACAGGCACTAAGTATATCTTTATGTATAATATATCAAGTTAGATATACTGAGTCTAGCATAAAGTGGTGGACATTGATTATTATTTAATTGATAATGTAAATAATTATTTTGTAACAATAAATTATATCAACTGTGATAACCTAAAGAAAAATAATAGTAGTAAAATTATATTTATCCCTATGAATTTTATAATATTAAATATTTTGGATTAGAATGACTTAGCATCATCCTAGTAATATCTTATTTAATGAAAATGAGTTAGTCATGAGTTAACAATATCCTATAATGAGCCTATAAGAAAAGAAAAAAGAAAGAAATTCTAAGAAGAAAAAGGAAACAAATGATTATAGGAAAAAAAGGGAAATAAATTCTTTAAAGAAACATTTGCAACAAAGCTCATATCTTGAGCCCAAAATACGTGGGGGTTTAGTCTAGCCGAACCAAATAATATTTACTCATCATCTCTCCATTTCTCTTCTCCTCTTCTTTTCTTTCTTCTTAATTAAAATTTTATTTTATTTTTAATTATTATTCTTTTTTGCTACCAAACTGCATTTATTAAATCGCTCTTCTTCAAAAGAAGTCATTAATCACGGAGATCAGGTAATCCTAATCCCAAAGTGATCTTATGTTAGTTTAGTATGAAAATTCTCATATGATGATCTTTACGATATCATATGTAGATTTTAAATTTAAATTACTACATGTGATATTTATAGTATTTTTGGAAACTTTATTAGAAAAATAATAGGATTATTATTTTGGGAATAAATAGAGATGACGAATAATTTACTATGATTGATTAAATGATAAAAAATTTGATTATGTGCGAATAAATGTAGAAATTATGATTATGAAAACTTTCCAAATATGTGATTTATGATTGAATTTGAAATTGTGATACTCTTTAAGAAAACTTTCCAAATATATGATTTATGATTGAAATTGAAATTATGTGTGATTGTTATTAATTAATAGTGGAAAGATAGTTTTTGGGATGGTATCTCCTAAAGTGATGAACACAAAAGTCTTTGAGCTTTATGCCTTCAATATTTATATGATGTGAAGAGATGTTATCTGTTCTTCTCAAAGTGGTAGAACGCGATGAGGGTTTTTTGTTTTTTGGTCCATTTTTATTTATTTATATTTCTAAATTGCAAAAATAAGATTTTCTATTTTTTATTATTGTTAATGAATCAAAATAAAATCAAGAATTGGTAAATAAATTACCCCTCGAGGGAGTTCATATCTCTATTTAGATTTAATTCATTACTTTTAGTATTTGACTGCAACTTGTAAAAGTTGGTTGGAATGTTATAATCGTTCAACGATTTCATACAAAACTTTTAACATTCAAGCAATTAAAATATTTATAAATTTGTTTAGGGATAGGATATTGTGACACACAAATAATGTTACGCACAATGTTACGATCATATCTTAACAGTTGATTTCTGCCAATCAACGGTTATCATTTATTGTGAATTAATAATTAATTAATGAGTTTGATTTGAAAAATGATAACCGTGGATTAACGGAAATCAACGGTTAAGATGTGGTCGTAACATTGTGCGTAACATTATTTGTGTGTCACGATATCCTATCCCATTTGGTTGATTATGATTAACATTTCAGCATATTGTGTTGATGATTATGATTGTGATTAGGATTATCACCATGATTGTTTATTTCTGAATATATAAGGAATTAATGGCAATTAAAATGATTTAAAACTATTGTTTAAAGAAAACTGTTATAAAGTTATTTGAAATCATTTCAACATTTATGTGCATATTATTACATTCATGATTTAAAGTTGTCGTTTCATTTCATCATTAATGATATTATAATATTCACATTTATGATTTAAAGTTACTGTTATTAGAATCGTTTCAAATATTGTTGAACTAATTATTTATACCTCTTATTAAGAATAAGTCTTGTGTATAAAGCGAAATTTATTCTTAATGCTTATTTTTCTTTTTATTAATGGCCAAAAATAATGGCTAGTGGTGTGTGGGGCTTATTGTAATACTTGATGCATATGGTTAACTAGACTTTTGGGTAGAATTTTTAAACTTATAATTGTTATTTTGACAACTTTTAGAAGTATGCAGATGGGCTCTTTAATTTCTAATAGCCTGTGATATAATATACAACAGCAATATATAATTTAAAAAATTTAATTTATGTAAAATATTTATAATTCTTCATTTATTTTTGTTTATGCTCCTTAAATGGTAATGGATATTTGAAAAATATATATTCTCCTACTCCTCGAGCAGTAGTGAGTGTCTCATGCTCCTGAAGTAGCAATGAGTTTTAATTAAAAAAAATATTCGATATTTGATAACATACATTATCTTACTCCTAAAGTAGCATGGGTGAAATAATACTTGAGAAACATATATCCTCCTATTGTGTAGTGGTGGTGAGTGTTTAAAAATATCCTTATTGGATATTTGCAATATTATATCATTTTTTCTTATTATTAATTTCAGAATCTTTTCAATATAACGTTGTATCAATTGTTGAAAAGCCACATTTTCACATTATTGAAGTAAGTGAAAATAATTATGATTTCAGATCTGTTGGTTCAAAAGCATTGCCTAAAGCAAATGACAAATCTATGCAAAACTCTAGCTATTTTGAGGGTTGTGAGTACAGGTAATGATATAAGGTAATGATATAATCGTTGAAAGGATGAAAGAAAATTCAATGTTGGGTCAAATCATGACAAATAAAAGAATTCAAATGAAGATAGCTAATGAAATAAATATGGTTAAAAAAAATAAAGGCAAAAATGTTAAATCTCATGTCATTGAAAAGAAGCCTAAAGTCATTTTGTTGGTTATTGCTCCTGAAGTAGCATATACATAATTAAATTAATGATTCTAATTATTTTATTTTATACTAATTGAATTCATTCCTTAATTATTTTTATTATGTTATGTTA